CAAGTTCAAGGCCAACTTCAGCAACTTAGCAAGACCTTGTCTCAAAATAAAAAACAAAAAAGTCTGGGGATGTGGTTTAGGGGTTAAGTGCCCTGGGCTAAATCTCCAGTACCCTCCCCCTCCCCAAAAAATAGATCCTACTACCTCTCAAAATACTCTCCTTTTTCCACAAAGGATTGATTTCCATCCCTGTTCTGTTGATCTGGACACAGTGTTGCTTGCAGCTGGTCCATACTAGTTACTGTTTTAGTGTTTTTTAAATCTAACAACATTATTTCTTGATATTTCTGTGCATTTCATGTCATTTAAAATTTTTAAACACATACCAATAACAACTAGAAAATGCTGAAAAGGAGAAATAATCACCAGTGCTATCAGTACCCCAAAAGAACAGTTTGCACCTGCACTTACTGTGTTCTGGTCCTTTGGTCTGTCCATTTCATTTTTGCATACTGGCAGTCATCATTTCTGAATTTCGTGTAACATCATTTCTACTGATTATTACGTTGTTATCCAGAAAGCCATGGGGACAACATTTTTCCCATCTTGTTCACTATCATTGTCCTCAGCACAGATAACAAAGTTTGTTTAGTAAGTATTGACTGAATAGAAGTTGTTATATGTTCTAATTAACATATATACCCATACACATAATATTATTTTTAGTGGATGTGCATTAACTCACTTCACTTTTCTCTAATTATTGGATATTTCAGTTTCCAGTTATTTATATATCTATTTATTTTTTGGTACTGGGGATTGAACTCAGGTGAACCCTGATCACTGATCCACATCCCCAGTCCTATTTTGTATTTTATTTAAAGACAGGATCTCATTGAGTTGCTTAGCACCTCACTGCTGCTGAGGCTGGCTTTATACTTGCCATCCTCCTGTCTCAGCCTCCCAAGCTGCTGGGTTTATAGGAGTGTGCCACCTCATCCAGCTTGTTTATTTTTATCAATAATGTGTCTGTGAAAAGTTTTGTGCATACAGTTTTCTCTGCATTTAGACTATTGTCTTAAGATAGGTGCCCCATGTGTAAGGTCAGGCAAGGCGGCAACCAAAAAGAGGCAGATTTTAAAAGGCCACTGAAGGAGGCTTAATTGAGATTCCACTCCCTGTGGGAACTCTATCAGAGTGGATAGAAATAGGGTCTGAGGAGAAACCACGTGGGGGCTTGACCGGACTGGAATTTTATGGGGCTTAGAGCAGGAAGGGAAGGGCTTGGGACAGGAAAAGGGGTTTTTAGAGTCCCTTGTCCCACTGGAGTTGGTCGGGGGAACTGGCTGAGATCCAGGATTGGCCAGGAGACCCTGCTGATTGACAGGTGGTTCGGTCTTTGATGCCTGATTGATGTTTCTTTCGCACCTGTGGGCTGCTTGGTGCTTTGTTTTTAAATAACCGCCATGGATCGACCTGACATCATGGTAAATTTATGAGGTCAAAAATGATTTAGGTAGCTGTACTTTTTTTTTTTTTTTTTGTACCGAGGATTTAAACCAGGAGTACTTAACCACTGAGTCACATCCCCAGCACTTTTTATTTTTTATTTTGAGACAGGGTCTCGCTCAGTTGCTTAGGGCCTTCCCATGTTGCTGAGGCTGGCCTTGAATTTACAATCCTCCTGTCTCAGACTCCTAAATCGCTGTACATCACTGGGCCCTACTAGGTAGTTTTACTTTTATAGGGAAAAAAAATTTTTTTTTTCAAAGCTGGGGATGGAAACTGGAGCCTCATGCATCCAGAGTGCAATCTACCGCTGAGCCACATCCCCAGCCCTGAATGGTTTTAAAAATGGCTGGAGTAGTTTATAAAGGAAATAACAATGTTCCATTTTCCCCACAGCTGCATTTCTCCTGGGTCTTTTGTTTTTAAATTGTTGCTGTAGGTATTAAAGGGAGAATTTTGTAATCAAGAGCATGTTTATGTAGCCTCAGTTCTGTGTCACAGGTATATGATGTCAAATAAGTAGTCATTAAAATATGAGCCCATTATTTTAGTCATGTTCCTAATATCCCCACATTACCCAATACATAATAACTGTGGGTGTAATTCAATTGTATCTCAAACTTTAATTTTTTAATTGGTCCATAAATGAAAATACCATTTGTAATTATTATAAAACAATTATATTATTGTTTATAACTTTTTGAGCATCAAAAAGAACAAGCTAATTTTTACATTAGATACTATCAGTAATAATATCCTGGTTTTCTGCAAAGGCATCATCCAATAACTACATTTCCTTCTATATATTTGTATCCATATTCTTTCCTAGTGGCAATGCATAGGCAATCCCAGCTCCAGAGAAACTGTGTGCTTCTATCTGAGTTTAAAATTAATACTCATTAGAGGCTTAACTAAAACTACAGTAATCTTTGGACTGTTAACAAATAACCAACCCAAAGTATTTCTTTATGAGCTGCTTACCAAAGTCCAAATAACTAACACCACAGAACACAGTAAAGCAGGCAGCATGTCACTTTTTTGAACTGATATTTCATTTCTTCCTCCCACCCCCCTTTGTACTAGAAATTGAATTTAGAGACACTTAACCACTGAGCCACATCCCCAGACCTTTTTATTTTTTATTTTGAGACAGGTTCTGGCTAAATTGCTGAGGCTGTCTTTGAAGTTGTAATCCTCCTGCCTCAGTCTCTGGAGCCACAGGGTTTAGAGGCGTGTGCCACTGTGCCTGGCTTGAACTGATATTTCAGAGAAGTTTGTCAAGCCTTTGACATTTATTGATTCATGAATATTTTAAACCAGTTTGAAATTTTCTGTCCCCAGCAGATAAAGACATTGAATCTGACACTTTTCTTTTTTCTTTTGGTGCTAGGAATTGAACCCAGGAGTGCTCTATTACCGAGCTACATCCCCAACCCTTTTTTAAAAAAATATCTTTATTTTATTTATTTATTGTTTTATGTGGTGCTGAGGATCAACCTAGGGCCTTGAATGTGCTAGGCGAACACTCTACCTTTGAGCCACTACCAACCCTTTCTATTTTTATTTTGAGATAGAGTATCACTAAAGTATTGCCCAGGGGGCTGGGCATGTGACTCAAGGGGTAGCGTGCTCGCCTGGCATGGGGGGGGGGCACTGGGTTCGAGCCTCAGCACCACAAAAAAAATAAAATAAAGATGTCGTGTCCACCAAAAACTAAAAAATTCTCTCTCTCTCTTTAAAAAAAAAAAAGTATTGCCCAGACTGGCTTTGAACTTAAGATCTTCCTGCCTCAGTCTCCCAAATCGCTGGGATTACAGGCATGGAGCCTCACCTTGCTACTATCTGGATACAGTCAGTGGCTAGGTGTAAGGGTTCCACAGGACCCTCACTAGGATTGTCCACCCTCACTCTCCTTGCCCTCAAACTTTATCTTGTCTGACTGATTTCCAGAGCCCTCTAATGGGTTCTCAATCTCCAAGTGTCTACATATAGCTCTTGAACTCTGGCTGTGTGTCCCTTCCCAGGATAAATTCCTCTGAAAGACTTCTCCAGGTGAGATCTCTTTCTGTCCTCCTGGAAGAAGATGAAGCCCTCAGAGTACATAATAAAATCAGTGCTTTTCCTGCTGACATTAATCCAGCAGATTAATGGTAGATTAATCTGGGCTTTTCCCCAGAAGGACTCTTGTTTTCTCACAGGGATAGTTTCCCTAAAATGCCCTCCTACCCCTAATCTATGCACTGAAATTCTTGTCCATCCTTTAAGGCCCATCTCTAAACCTTTCAATCTCCTGAAGCTTCTCCTGAGGTCACCAAGTTGCTGATGCATCCCCCCACCATCCTGATTCTCTCCTCTGCACCTGTGGTCTTCCTTTTCTGTTCCAAAAGTCCCCTTTACATCTTTGCCTAAATGCCCCCTCAACACATATTCCAGTTCTGAAGTAGGAACAAATGTGTCTTTGTTGGGTGTTTTCATCTGCTCCCAGAAGTAGATAAAGCTTACATCTGACTTTCATCTAGCACAGTGACATACAGTATGTGTTCCATAAGCAATATTTGTTGATATGAAGAACTGAATTGTCTCTCACCAAGGTATGATTTCTTATATGGATAACTCAGAAGTTATTATTAATATTAATTTCTTGATATGACTCATCATTACTGCCGAGAATGCTTTTTTTCTTTTTCTTTTTCCAGTACTAGGGGTTGAATCCAGGGGTGCTTGCGATCTGAACTACATCCTCAGCCCTTTTTATTTGAGACACGGTCTCAATAAACTGGCAAAGCTGGCCTCAAACTTGTGATCTTCCTGCCTCCGCCTCTTGAATAGCTAGGATTATAGGCGTGTGCCACCACGCCTGGCTTCAAGAAGGTTCTGTATGTACTTCAGTGAGGAAAAAAAAAACAACAAAAAACTCAAAACTCAAAAGCTACTCACCTGGCTTCCCAGCCATCTTGCAAACCCCACTGTCCAGCTTGCTTTGCATCACACTTGCTAACTAGAATCCCAGGAGACAGAAGCCAGAGGTCGTTCAGCATGCAGCCTGCTTGCAGAGCGTGTCCTTACTCTCCCTCTGGATGGACCAGCTAACCTGCAGGAGGAGGAGTCCATCTCCAGGGGAGTCCAGCGACTTAGGCTTCCATGTCCACAAGAAGTTGTCTGGAAAACTGAAGAGCTGCTAAAATGAGGAGCTGAGTTAATTATCCTCACCTATGGTTCCCAAGCAACAACCCCCTTAGGATCCTGGGTAATAAGATCTGTTCAAACCCACAAGGGAGATATCAGTTGCCTGCTGCCTGCAGCTTCCTAGCTGGATATGACTCATAGGGAGTCTGCCTTTTGGGAGCCAAATTAAAGCACCCACCAAAGACATATTAGTTCCTACTTGTGCATCTTCAGGCCCCAAAGATACCCTAAAATTCCCCCAAGTAAGGACTTCCTGTTACATACACATCCACTTCATGTGGAAGAATGTGATATTGAGCTCACACCAGAGATGGCTGACCTGGGAAGAAACAGGAGGTAAGTAGAGGTTAAGTACCCTTATCCAAAATCCTTGGGACTAGAATTTGGGATTTTTTTTTTTTTTTAACCAAGGATTGAACCCAGGGGTGCCAAACCACTGAGCAACACCCTCAGCCCTTCCCAGCCCTTTAATGTTTTATTTTGAGGCAGATTCTGGCTAAATTGCTTGGGGCCTCAGTAAGTTGCTGAGGCTGGCTTCAAACTTGGGATCCTCCTGCTTCAGTCTCCTGAGACACTAGGATTACAGGTATGTGCCACACTGTACCTGGCTGAAATTTGGAATATTTTCATATACATAATGAAATATCATAGGTATAACACCCAAATCTAAACAAGAAATTAATTTATACTTTACATACACCTTATATGCATAGCCTGAAGATAATTTTACACTATATTTTTGGTGTGCCAACATTTTGACTGTGATCCCATAGCATGAGGTCAGATGTGGAATTTTCCACTTGTGGTTCAAAAAGTTTCATATTTTAGAGCATTTTGGATTTGTCTTCAGGTTAGGGAGGTTCTATCTGTACTCTTCACATCCCTTTAATCACCTATTGTAGATCTCTTTCTTCAGGTAGCCAACACAAAGCAACTGGGAATTAAAGGTGGACGTTAAGAGTACATCCATAGTCTTCATCAGTTGTTGGTTATTGTTACTCTGATATGTGACGTGTGGCAAAAAGACCTCTACTCTACCTATTGGTGTTAGCAATTTGATCCTGTCCAGATCCAGATTTCCAATTCATAGGATCACAGCTACTCATGAGACTGGTTCATACATACAATTGCTTGCTTTTTGAAATTAGAGGATGTTTTGGAGTTTTGTTGTTGTTGTTATTGTTGTTTGTGGTACTGGGGATTGATCCCAGGGGCACTTTAACCTCTGAGTCACATCCTCAGCTCTTTTCATTTTTTATTTCAAGATAAGGTCTTGCTCAATTGCTAAGGCTGGCCACAGATTTGTAATCTTCCTGCCTTAGCCTCCCAAACTGCTGGGATGTCAGGCATGTGCCACTGCACCTAGCTAGAGGACATTTTACATAGGCCCACAGTACCTTAGTTGCAGTTCTGCAACTTTAGGGTGTTTTGTCTCTGAAACCAAGTTTGATACCTAAAGCCAGGTGGGGTGGTGCACACCTCTAATCCTAGTGTATAGGAGACTGTGGCAGGAGGATCACAAGTTCAAGTCCAGTCTGCACAGTATAGCAAGACCCTGTCTTGAAATAAAATAAAAAGAGCTGGGGGTGTGGCTCAGTAGTAGAACACTTGCCTAGCATGCATGATGCCATGGGTTCAATCCCCAGTACTGAAAAAATAAATAAATAAATTATTTTTGAGGTCCAAACTAATTTGGCAATGAAATCTGACTTGAACTTATAAAAGTGAATTTATGATATTTATTCTTTTTAGTATAAATAATAAGATAGTTCACTGGGGACATATCTATATATTTGATTATAGGGTGCCACCCCAGTCTTCCTGGAGGCCTTATGTAATAATATACAGCACGATATTTCTGAAAACTTCAAAATGCCATAACTCATAACCCTAAGGTTTCAAATAAAGGATTATGAACCTGTAAAATCAAACCTGCAGGCAATGAGCAGTTGTCATTCAGTTATTCACATGTCAAACTGCAGTTGTAGCACTTTCATAAAACGGAGTCTGCTTTCCCTGGCTAAACATACAATATATCTAACCTTTACCCTAATTACATGCAGCTTCAGCCTTATAGAAAATTTTGCAAAATCATTATACACACCCCTAAATCCTAACCCCATGAACTTGCAGTAGTCAGCTTCTATTTACAGTGACTGCCCCTCCTTATCGAGAAAAAAACCCCATTTCCTCCTACTGCTCTTCATATCAGTAAGAAAATAAGATTTGCCTAGGGCAAATATCCTCAAGTTCTCTGAAAGTTTCCAGAGAAAACAATTTAGAAGACTGACTAAAAGGAAGACAACATGCTCAATTTCTTCTATGTATTTCTTTTAGTTGGTGAGGGCTTTGACTTTGTGACTCTTGCATGGTGTTAACACATTAAGTTAATCTTTCAAATATCCAGGTCAGTCATAAATCATGATTTGGATCTTTCATTGAGCAAGAATAGTTGCAAGATATAAGATGAAGCCAAGCATCATCACAGGTGTGTGTAGTTCCAGAAATTCAGGGTGCTGAGGCAGGAGGGTTACAACTTCAAGACTAGCTTGGGCAATTTAGGGAGACCCTACCATAATAAAATAATTAAATTAAATGGTGCACGCATCTGTAATTCCAGAGACTGGGGAGGCTGAGGTGGGAGGACTACAAATTCAGGTCAGCCTCAGCAACTCAGTGAGGTCTTAAGCAATTTAAAATAAAAAGGTTAAAAGTAAAAAAAAAAAAAGGGACTGGGGATATAGCTCAGTGGTGAAGCACCCCTGAGTTTAATACTCAGTACCAAAATGTAAAAAGATAAGTAAAATAATAAAATAAAGTAAAACAGATTGGAAATGCAGCTCAGTGGTAGAGCTGCCCTGGGTTCAACTCCAGTTCCACAAAAGATGTAGGATGCAGAACACCTGATGTTTTCATGGAAAGATGAATTTTTAGAATTTAATAATTGGTTACCGTCTAAAGATATTTCTGTTGACCATGCGGAGGTGTAGACATTTCCCTGTTGCCCTCTGTACCCAGAAAAATGAAATCTACTCAGTAATGTATGACTAATTGCTCCCGTCACAGGCAAAACATGTATCAACAGGCTAAAGACATTCCACAGGAAACACATGACTCTGTGCTCATATCTGATGGAAGAAAAATAGAAAAGGAAATGCAGTAAGGTTTGCAGTCTCATAACCTTTTCTCCTCAAACCCCACATACTCTTTGATATTGTTGGATCCCAAGACAGATTTGAAAATCCCCTCCTTGCTTAAAGCACCATTGTTAAGCTTAGCACTGAATTGTCTCTCTTTGTGGATTTGGGTTGGCTTCTTTGCTAAATGAATTACTTCTGCAAGAAATGTGATCTCCTTCATGCTGGGGTTGATGTTTCAGCTACACCAAACCTCCTGTACCATGCCCCACCTGGGCTATGGGGATAGACCTACCTGTTTCTGGGGGCTGGAATGTGCTTTCCTAAAGCCCGCACAAAGTTTTTTCCTAGCCTGGAGTGGTGGTGCATGCCTGTAATCCCAGGAGGACTGAGAGTTCAAAGCCAGCCTCAGCAATAGTGAGGCGCTAAGCAACTCAGTGGGACCCTGTCTCTAAATAAAATACAAAATAGGGCTGGGGATGTGGCTCATTGGTTGAGTGCCCTCAGTGCAATTGCTGGTAACCCCTTCCCACCAAAAAAAGGGCTGGGAATGTGGTTCAGTGGTTAAGGGATCAATCCCTGGTACCCCAAACAAACAAAAACCTTATTCTCTCACTTCATGCAGGCTTCTGCTCAGATGCTCCTGTGTGTCAGAGAGGCCTCCAACTACTCTACCAAAAAGAGATCCACTAGAGAAACTTTGGGTCATGGCTGGTGGTGGTGATAGTTGTAAGCCTACTTAAATAGATTGAATTTTACACTGAAAATTGCTCACATGGTAAATCTTATGTACATTTTACTACAATAAAAACCAGAAAGTAAAAGAGCTCTACCCAGCATGTTTCATCTCACTGGCTTCATCTTCTTACCTAGCACTTCATCAAAACCCAACACTGGGGGCTGGGGATGTGGTTCAAGCGGTAGCACACTGCTCGCCTGGCATGCGTGCAGCCTGGGTTCGACCCTCAGCACCACATACAAACAAAGATGTTGTGTCCGCCGAAAACTTAAACCCCAACACTGTAGATTGACAGACACATCGACTGACCACATCACCCCTCCCCCCCTGTAGAAAGCAAGCTCAAGGAGATAAACTGCTGCTTAGTTTTGTTTACTCCTGCATCTGTGATGGCTAGAACTGTCCCTCGAACACTGAACACTGTAGATACTCCTAAAGAATCCCTGAATGAATGAAAACAAGCAAGCTTGGTGGCACAAAGGTCTCAAAGTTTTGGCTTAACAGGGACAAGGTCCCTCCCCACCCCCAGACAGTGGTGTGCTGGGGGTGCCTCCCTGGCACAGGTTCAGATCATGTGCACATATCTTCCCAATTCCATGGTCAGTAATATCATACTGAGACAGGGTTAAAGGACAGGTAGTCAAACTAGATAGTGAATGGCTGGGTTGGAAAGATGGGGGCTGATTATCAAAGAAAAAGAAATGGAATGCTAACTCCTCCTCCCTCCTCTCAACACTTGCCTCCTCTCAACCAGTTACCGACACCTCTGGGGAATCGCTCCTCCCTACACAAGGAGTTGCTCATTAGCATCCCCTGGTGGCCCTTTTCCTGCCTTTTGGGCACACAGGCCAGATAGGAAGAGGAGGTGGCGGGGAGGAAAGGCAAGCTGAGATCTATAAAGGGGCAAGATACCTCCCTCCCATGGAACGAGGACCTAATCCTGATTTCCAAGACTGGTATCAATACTGGAACTTAGAATCAGACATCAGGGTGATCAGCCATCCCACTGCCCAGGGAATGAGGGGTGTCCTGGGATTCAGGACTTTGAGGGCTAAAAATAGGAAAGCTCCTGGCAAATCAAAAAAAGTTGTTAACCTTACCAGCTATAGGACAATTATTTATACCTGGAAGCTGGAGAAATCTCCAAATTGGGGCTTTCCCGCCTTAGAGAACTTGTTATTACATACTGACCAGCACAGTATTCTGCCGCACTCTGGCTGGGCACAAAATCACGAGCCACTCAAGCAGGAACAAACTTTATTTTTCACAACTGCCGCCAATACCCCATACGCGCCAGGGAAGATTGCCGATCCACGAACACGGCGATCCACGCACATGGCTTTCTCCTGGAATTCCCTCCTACTGCACTTCCCCAACCAATGGGAACTCTCCAGGAGTCCCGTAGCAGGCCGAGGTGGACAGCAGGAGTCCAATATCCATATGAATGCAAATCTTAACATAATCATATCATCTCAATGGCTTGCTGCCTTCACCTTTCAACCAAAAATGCCATGCATCATATTACTTGGCTGTGGCTCTTAGCATCTCCCCTCTTCTGTTTAATTAAGCAACAAGCAATGTGGCTAGGGACCGTGCCTGTTAGGTTGTCCAATTCAACATATGGTTCTTACCCGTCATTGGATGAACTGACCTTTAGGCGTCAGCCTCCTGTCTTAGGTTGATACCACTGCAATTGGATCATACCCGTCACTGACTACCGGTCCAGCATATAGCCATACTTGTGGATAGGCCTATGCACCAGTGGGGGGGTGAGGTTCTTTGCCTCACCTCTGTTGGCCCCCAAAATTAGACCATCACTAGTAGAAGGGAGGAGGATACAGAAATGCCACGACACCAAGTCAATTGACGGCTCCTTAGGAAAAATTGCATCACTGATGACACATCAGCAAAGATACGCCTGCATTACCATAATTTGCTGCATCAACAGATAGATCACAATGCATACAAGTGATATATAGTCCAGGCAAGTTCTGAAAGCAGTTCAAAGCGGAGGAATCTATCAATATGTCCATTTCCTCCCAAAATAAATCGACTCATTGATTGAGCATTACTTGTTGAGTTATTATTCATTGATGTATCAGTTTATACAGTTTGTTGTGATAATTATCGCAGAAGTTGTAGTTTGGTTTCATCTTTGTCTTCACTGGCACTGGGATGAAAATAGGAATTCTGACAATGATGCTAAAAAAAAATTATGTAACATTTCAACAGGTACTAAGAAAACAATTTTTTGAACAATTTACATTATCCTGAACAGAATTATTAAATATAATGAAAAGGAAAGGTGAAAGTAAACAAACAGATCTGTTAACCTGCTTATTTGTACACATATTAAAACAATCTTTAACAGCTGTTTACCCAATTTAAATTAAACCATTAAAATCACGTGAATAATAAAAAAAATTCGGATCCATTTATTCATGAGCGCTCCTCATATATGATATATGGACATACGCACAGACATACAACACAGAACAGAAATATGCACACGTAACATACAACACATAAGACAATAGTAAAGGCCTTGTAGCTTTACCTAGGTGAAATCTCCATTGCAATGTTTAAAAACTCCACAGTCAAAAAATAAAACTGGGGCTGGGGATGTGGCTCAAGTGGTAGCACGCTCGCCTGGCATGCGTGCAGCCCGGGTTCGATCCTCAGCACCACATACAAACAAAGATGTTGTGTCCGCCGAGAACTAAAAAAAATAAATATTAAAAAATTCTCTCTCTCTCTCTCTCCCCCCCACTCTCTCTTTAAAAAAAATAAAATAAAAAAAAAAACTGATCAGAAAAACATTAACCTAGGTCTGTATGAGCTCAAAAAAAAGAAAAAAAAAAAAATAGAACTTTATGATGTGGGAAAAAGCAATAATAAAATAGATATTGAAAAAAGCATCCTGGTTAATCACTGTCACAGATGTAAGAATAGCCAAGCTGGAGTTCTGGATATCAGCTGTTATGGATTTGAGTCAAATCATCTTCTTTTTGATCTGTAGAAATTGTTTTGGTTAATCTCTCTGGAATCCAAATCGGTTGCTGTTCTCCCTGTGGAAACACACAAACAGAGCCCCAACTCCAGACAATCACTGGGTCAGGACCTTTCCATTGTCCTGTTAGAATATCCTTCCAAAGTACCTTAGGCTTATGTACATTTTTTGGATACAAATGTCTTTCCGCAGCACTAAGCCCTGATGAATCCAAATTTAAAAAGTTTAGAGTAAAAAGGGTTATTTTAAGTTTATCTTTGGGGGATTTATACCCCTTTCCAATTCCCTCCTTTTGTTTTAATAAGTACATTTTAATTGTTTGATGAGCTCTTTCAACTATGCCTTGTCCCTGTGGATTGTATGGAATTCCTGTTATGTGAGTAATGCCAAATGATGAGCAAAATTGTTTAAAAGAGGTAGAAGCATAACCAGGACCATTATCTGTTTTTAACTGTTTTGGAACGCCCACATTGGCAAAATTTTGTAAGCAATGAGCTATAACATCTTTAGTTTTTTCTCCGGCATGAAGGGAGACCATCAAAAATCCGGAAGAAGTATCAACTGTAACATGTAAATATTTTAATTTTCCAAATTCTGGCAAGTGTGTGACGTCCATCTGCCAAATATGGTTAGGTATCAGTCCTCTAGGATTGACTCCAAGATTAACTTGTGGTAAAAATGTCACACAATTTTGACATTGTTTTATTATACGTCTGGCTTGTTCTTTAGTTATTTTAAAACGCTTTTGTAAAGTATTAGCATTGACATGGAACCTTTTATGAAAATTTATAGCTTCTTCTATTGTGGAGAAAATATGTATGTCATGTGTAGATTTATCTGCTAATTCATTGCCCAAACTAAGGGCTCCAGGCAATCCTGTATGTGCCCTGATATGTCCTATAAAGAATGGATCTTTTCTGTCCCAGATTAGACTTTGTATAGTGGAAAACAAAGAGAAAACAGTAGAAGAAGGGGAAATCCTACCAGCATCTTCAAGGGATACTATAGCATTAACTACATACTGACTATCAGAAAATAAATTAAATACAGAATCTTTAAACATCATAAAAGCTTGTAATACTGCATTAAGCTCTACCTTTTGAGCTGATTGTTTGGGTACTAAAAATGTAAAAGTTTGATCAGGGGTAACTACTGCTGCTGTACCATTATTTGACCCATCAGTGAATATATTTGGAGCATTCATGATAGGGGTTTTTCTTGTCATCTTTGGAAAAACTACAGGATGCTTAGACCAAAAAGACAACAAAGGATTAGATGGTAAGCGATTATCAAATGAAACATTAGATTTACACATGATTATTGCCCAAGTATTTAACTCATTAGCTAACTCATCAATTTGATCCATAGTATATGGAGTAATAATTTTATTGGGAGAAATCCCAAATACTCCCTTTGCTGCTTTTATTCCTTTGAGTATAAATTGTCCTACAGCCTCAGGATACCTAGTAAGAATAGTGTTAGGAGAATAAGATAAATGTATCCACAATAATGGACCTTCTTGCCAAAATACTCCTGTAGCAATATTTTTTGTTGGTAGTACAATAAATAATAAAGGCAAACTTATATCAATTCTATCCAAATGCATATTTTCCATATATGTTTCAATGATTTTTAATGCCTTTCTTGCTTCAGGCATTAACATGCGGGGTGAATTTGGATCTGATGGACCCTTTAGGATATCAAATAAAGGTCCTAGCTCTCCCGTTGGTATGCCTAGATAAGGCCTTATCCAATTTATGTCTCCCAATAACTTTTGAAAGTCGTTAAGTGATTTGAGTTGATCTACTCGTATTTGAATTTTTGGTGGACGGACCATGGCTGAGGATAATAGAACTCCTAAATAATTAATTGGAAGATTTAATTGTACTTTATCTATTGCTATCTCTAGATTATAATATTTTAATAAATTTGTAAGTGTGGCATAACATTCTAGCAATGTGTTTTTTTCTTTATGTGCCAATAACACATCATCCATATAGTGAAATATTTGTAGTTCAGGATTTTGATTTCTAAGTGGCTGGATTGCTTTGTTAACATAAATTTGACACATAGTTGG